TGTTTAAAGAAAACAAAAACATTGGCACGATATGCAGCGGCCTGGAACTTAGCCTGTGAGCAGGGACAGCCAAGGGACCCCACAGGGCGCCCAGGCTTGTTACCCTGAACACAGATCTAGCACTAACCCAGAAAGTGGGGTGGACTCGACCCCCGCCCCCCTTCTCTCCGCATTGTTTCCTACACTGGGGCAGGTGGGAGGGCTGTGGGAACAGAGAAGGCCTCAGATGACAGGCTTGTCTGCAGCTCAGGAAGAGCCCAGAAAGCAGCCACTGTCCCTGTTCTCTGTGCAGACTCACCTCCCACAGAAGGCTGAGCTGGGGTCTGGGGGATGAGCACAGTGGGTGGAGTGGGGTGGGGTGCTGAGCCCATGGACCCTGGGAAGAAGAGATCCAAGGCCAGGTGCCCTGGAGAGAGGAAACTGCAAATCTGGGCCCCTGGGCCCCTTGACAAGGGCAAAAAGTGCCACCAGCCAGAGCCCAGGCTGGAAGGAGATGGCTCCTGGACGGGCCTAGGGCCCCCTTTGAAGATGGCAAGTCCCAGTCCTGAGCCTCCGGACAGACCCTATCCTGCTTCACCCAGCAGTCAGAGGGGCTGTGAGTGTGCACATGTGTGTGCACATGTGTGTGTGCGTGTGTGTCTGTGCTTCTGCCCATTTAAGGGTGAAAGTATGGCGGGGGCTACTGTGGAGTCCAGGCCAGCTGGGGTAGCTGGCATTTTGTCAAACCCAGGCAGGGGAGGGAGAGGGGTTAGGGACAGAGATTCTACAGCTAAATCGAAGCAAGAGACAACTCGTACCAGAAAGGGAGACACATACAAGTGGGACCCAAGTGGGGCAGGATCAGGAAAGAAAAGTGGAATTGGGGGCCAGTGTTTCTGTTTAACTAGAAAGAATCCCGACGGCAGGGCTGCCAGGCTGAGTCCGCGAGGCCTGTGCAGGAGAGAACCGCTTCCACACCTCTGGGATCCCGTGAACATTTTGAAACTCTAAGAATCTAACAGGAAGAAAACTGATAAAAATACAGGACCTGGAGCGCCGCCCAGCTGCTCAGGCTGAGTTCAGCCCCCCTTCCCCTGCCAGCCAGGCTTCTTCGTCTCTGCAGGGAGAGCAGGGCCAGCCCAGGCCTTGGGGAATGGGTCTCCCCTCTCCCCCCTCTGCTCACCTTGCTGTTTCACCTGGGGAGCCTGGGGACTGGGATGCTCTCCAGGAAAGTGGCATCTTCGATCTGTTTCTCTGAGGCCATGCTCAGGACCCGCTTGGCCCACATCAGTGCCCCCTGAGTTGCTGAATGCCTAAATGCAAACCCAGGGCGCCACAGGTGGGAAGCCAGCACCAGGGACCACAGAGGAAGCCCTGTCTCTGCTCAGCCTCAGGCCCAGGTTCTGGGGGGCGGGGGGGTCAGGAGATGGTCAACATGCTCTTCAAACTGTTCCCCAAGCCTGAGGACCCCAACCACATTCAAGGTCATGGTCTCTAGGGCGGGTCGGTGAGGCTGGAAGTGTTTTAAAAGTGCTTCTCCCCCTCCAACCCCTCTGTTGAAAGCCCTCCAAACAAACCGGCAAGAGGGAATAGTAATAATAACAGTAAACAAGGCCTGAAACGAACTGGATAATTTACACTTAAATTATACATCCCAAAGCAGTTTACACAGTGCAGGGGGCTTTCTTTGCCAACATCACTAACAGATAAAAACGACCAGTGTCATAAAGGCCTGAGGAGGACCTGGGAGCTAATGGGGCCCAGGCTCCTCTCGCAGGGTCGGATCCCCCCACCTCGGACCCAGGGGCCTGGGAGGAGCTGGGTCCAGGCTCGACTGAAGGGACACAAGCTCACCCTTGTGACAGGGGTTCACTCTACAGGACCCTGGCCCTCCAGCCTGAAGTTCTGGCTCTAAAATGGACTCAGCTTAAGATCCAGGTCAATAGTCTCCACATGCACAGGACACTCCCACGCCGCCAGGCAGCTCATTTTTACTCCAGGCTTCCACTCCAGCCCAAGAGAATTGCCATTCTGATCCGATGGTCAGAGAAATACTGGGAGTATTTAATTTACTATGAAGCTCTCTGTGCCTCTGTGACCCCCAAACACCCATGGCCGGGGAATGTCCTGTGGGATTGTGACTGAAGGAAAGCCAAACCTAAAACGTGCCCTGTGACTGCTGGGTCATCACCCTTGTGCTGGCCATCGAGGCAAGCCCAGATCTGTCCCCAAAGGGCTGTGTGTCAATCAAGCGCTGGCAGGCACAAGAACCCTAATTCTCAGCTGGCTGGCGTTTAATAAATTAACTCTGGCCACCTAGCAGCCTGCATGGCCAGCTCAGACCACTGGGAGTGCACTGGCCATAGCTTATCTAATGAAGACGATGCCATGACCGTGGGCTAATTAGATGGCACTATTTTGAGCTGATTCCGCCCACATCTCGATCCTCACGGCTCACTGTTCAGAAGACCAGTAGGGGGCCTTGTGGTCTCTTCCACACATCAGTTACCTGGAAAGAGGCTTCCTCCTGAGCCTGATGTCTTCTCAAGTCTGGAGATGTCCTTCCAAGTACACAAACCCTATATTATGTCATTCCACACTGGGACTCAGGATGACACCTGTCACTCCAAAAAAAATCCCACCTGTGTCTGGATTGTGTCACTAAACATGCAACATAAATTGCTATGTCTTCTCTACCCCCTCAGCAGCCACCCCCAGCCCCAGCCGCAGCCAGGAAAATAGATTTTCCTCTCTCACTGTGGGGCAGCCCCCACCTGAGACCTGCCATCACTCCAGGGAGTCTCGCAAACTCTTGGGGGTGAGGGCTGCGGGCTGGTGGCCGTGGAGGGGTGGCTGGGCCTTTATGTTATTATTTCACCAGCTGAGGCCTTTTATCTGATTCTAAGGGAGGCTCCGAGCTTAGGTGCCGCTTCCTCGAGGCAGCCAGCAGCCAGCCTGCTCTCCTCTTGGCCTGGAGGGTGCTGTCTTCACACAGCAAAAGGGTCTGGCTTTCTGATCAAACCAAACCTGGTCCCACGCTGTGAAAACAGAGGCTTCCAGACATGAAAGCAGCAGCAAAGGCCTGGGTTGGCGTCGGGAAGAAAGGAGGAGGGAGGAAGACGCTGCCAGGTGTTCAGAAAATGCAACCCAGCCCCTGGCAGCCATGACGAGATGCTCATCAAAACTAAGGGATGGGGCACCCGGCCGGCGTGGCTCAGCGGTTGAGCATCGACCTAGGATCCAGGAGATCGAGGTTCGATTCCTGGTCAGGGCACAGGCCTGGGGTGCGGGCTCGATCCCCAATGACTCTCCTCATTGATGTTTCAACTCTCTCTTTCTCCCTCTCCCTCTCTTTGAAATCAATAAAGATATATTTTTAAAAAACTAAGAGATGGGGAGTTGGGGGAGCAGGAAAGATCAGGCCAAGAGCAGAGAACCAGGGGGGAGCCCAGGGGTGGGTGAGTGGCTGGAGGATGTTCCAGGGAGCTGTGCAGGCCACAGGGACCCCCAAGGCCTGCTTCTCAGCAGGACTGTAATTAAAAAGCCCACTGGATGGGGTGAGTGGGCCACTGCCCCAGGTGGGGAGTTTAAGAACAGAGACTATGCAAACAGTGCCCTGCAAAGGGGCTCAGGGTAGAGCCAGGGGCCTCCCCAGCTTCGGGCCCCCCAGGCATTCCCATCCAGCATAGAAAAAACGGCCAAGCAGGCCAGTTCTCCAGCCCTGACTGAGCCCAATTCTGACTGAGCCCCTGACAGGCAGGAAAAGCCCCTCAGAGAGGGACACACCCAACGGCACAAAGTCCAGTGGGGTCAGAAACTTGGCTTGGGCCCACTCCCACTATTTAGCGATTCCTACGTTACTGAAAATGAAAACAGACATGTAAATGTTGCCTTGCCACTCTCATTTTGGAGCTCCTTCCTCCTTATTTCAGGTTGATAAGTGACCCATAGTAGCCTGGACAACTGCAGGTTCCTGCCTCCCGTGGGATCTGACTGTAACCATCACAGAGGTGTCTTAAGGGGCCCGATGGTCCCTTTGCAACCAGAGGAATCCCTGTGTCACGCGTTTGATGGTGGAGAGCTGTTCCAGACTGCGGATGTCTCCTATTCTCTTTCTTACATCCAACATTTCTGAATTCAGAGACCCATCCAGTCCCCTGATTTCAGAGAAAAGACTGTGGGCCAGAAATGGTGTTAAGTGGAATGGGGAAAGCTGCCAGGTTGTGCCCACGCAGACCCGGGTTGGTAATTCCATGGTAACATCTGAAGACTCCAGCAATTTGCCCCAGGGATGGGGCCACTGCCCTCCTTCTCAGGGAAACAAAAGTCAAAACACACCCAGGCCCCGGGATTTCAGTGGTAAGCAGATGGGGGACGTGATAAGGGAGGGCAGGGCCAGGTCACACCTATGGGGATCCGTGTGTCCCCTGCCCCCCAAGCTGAGGGCACCGCAGGCCTTTCCACTGCGGGCTGGCGTCTGTCCATTCTCACTCCCACCCTGGTGCTGCTCCCAGGAGACCACTCTGGCAGGGGCTGGGGACCAGAGGCAGTGTCCACCACAGTCCTGCCCCTTGGTGGGCCCCTGTGCCCGGCCCCACAGCTCGGCCTGCCCTTGCAGTGAGTGATACAAGGCTGGGGGGGTGGGGCAAGCACTTCCCAGCCTCTGTCAGCATCCCCGTCTCTACCCCACACCCTACTCCCCACTCCCCGGGAGATGCTCTGGGTGCCTGGGCCTATAGGGCTTTCTGGAGCAGGGGGGAGGGGCTCGGAGCCCTCAGAGCCTGCTGAGAAAAGTAGATGCGTTTCCAAANCAGGGCTTTCTGGAGCAGGGGGGGGCTCGGAGCCCTCAGAGCCTGCTGAGAAAAGTAGATGCGTTTCCAAAATAAATAATATCTTTAAATGCCCCCTTTCCACTCCAACCCCAGGAAATAGCAGAAGACAACATGTAAGGCCCTTGTGCCTGCCGCTGCCGGATGCGGCTCTCACGGGACCACCCTGGACTTCTCGGCGGCTCCCCTGGCTCACAGCTGCTGTGGGATGCCCTGCTCCTTGTAGCCTGTGAGAAAGAAGCAGAGGGGAGACGGTGAGACACCCCCTTCCTCCAGCATTTCTCCACGAGGTGCCCCAGACTAGAATCTGCTTCACACAGGTAAATGGCTGCTACATATAGTCAGGGTCCAACTTTTCCCAAGGGCATTGGCTTCTTAATGGGAATCCAAAGGGTAAATGGAGAACTGGGGATCTATGAGAGGCGGGTGTCTGGGGTGGGGGTCGGAAGGTTATCTACAAGCCCCAAATCCACACCCCTGCACACAAGTGGCTCCACCAGCCCGGCCTGGTGTGATTTCCCACTGCAGAGCCTGGGGAGAAGGTGCCAGACAGGCTCCGCCAAGTGATGGGCATCTGGTGTGTGTGGACAGAGAGGAGGAAGGAAGGCGGCCTACAGGGGGAATAAACAGGCATGTGTTCAACCAGCTGGACGTCTGTGACACACGCAAACGTGACTGAGGGTTCTGAGCCTTTAAAACACTGGTGATAATTATGAGGCCACTGGGAAAAATTGACCACTACTGATACTGGAGAATTGTTGCTAATTTATTTGGATATGAAAGGGGACTGTGGTTATATGGTTTTTTTTTTAAAGATACCTACTGAAAAATTTAAGGATCAAACTATGATTCTGGAATTTTGAGTGGTTACCCCCATTAGCTGGTGACTTAGCCTGAAGAGGAGCTTCAGTGGACTAAACTGTGTTGGGTTTTTTTTATCTTTATATATCAGATTATTCATCAATTTTAGGTGCTAAAAATCCAGTGCTGGAGGTGGGGGAAGACGTAGGCAGTAACTGATGAAACAAGAGTGGCCGTGAGTTGACAATTGTTGGGCTTTCAGGGACTCATCGGACTAGGCCCTTTAGGTTTGTCTATGCTTAAATATTTTCCAAAATAAAAAGCTAAGAATAGAAGCCAGTTGACCAACTGAAAGAGGGGGTGGGTGGGGTGGCAGGGGAGGGTCCCAGGGAGCCCAGGCACGAGGCTGGGCACCCATCAACAGACTCACCCTGGGAAACTTGGGAGCGGCACAGGATATAGGCAGCGTGAGAAAGAGAAGAGAGAGAGAAAAGAGTCTGAAAACAGAAAACAGAGGGGCTGTCTGAACTATAAAGACGGTGGGGGGCCTGGGAGACAAGGGGACGCAGGTGAGCCCTCAGAGAAGGAGCAGGCTCAGCAGGTCTCCCTGCCAAGCGCCCACGCCCCGCAGGATCACAAATGCCCAGACTCTTCTGGGCCCTGCTCCCCTCATCCCGGCCCGGCCCCAGCCCCCCAAGGAGGAATGGGGACAGTGGCTACTCACTGGCGAGGATGACCATGTCCATGCCCCAGAAGATGCTCATGATCCAGCCCACCATGACGATGGCCGTGAGGATCTGGATGAGGGCGGCCGCGATGTTCAGCCAGAAGACGCAGCACACGTGCCTGTCCGGGAGGTCAGTGCGGGCTCCGCACAGCACAGTGAAGGCCGAGACGAATGTCCCTGGGAGAGGCCAGACGGGACAGCCATGTTAGGGTGCTGGGAGGTGTAGCCTGTGTCCAGCACCTTCCTGCTCAGACCCCAGCCCACCTCTTGTCCCCACACTAGAGAGACCAATGTGCCACCTGGAGGAGGCATAGCGTGGGGCTGCCAAGGGGCCTTTGGAGGAACACAGATGGCATTGCAATTTGTCCTGCTATTAAGGAGCAGGGCAGGGTTTGCCTTGGGGGCAGGAGTGGCGACATGGGGGGAGGGGAAAGAAGAGGGGGAGGGCTGCAGGGCCCCTGGATAAGGGGTTTGGCCCAATCTATAGGGAACCGAGCTCTGATGAGTTTTGAGCAAAACAGCATTACACTAGAAGCAGGAATTGAAGAAAGTTAACTTGCCGGCAGGGTGTTGGGTAGTTTGAAAGTCTGAAAAAGATGAACTCAGCTGAGAAATGATAGGGACATGGACTGAAGGCTCGGTAGAGGCCAGAGGAAGACACAGGGGAGCTTGGGACCATCAGAAAGTGTATGCCACCATCCTTTGCCTCTGCTAGCGCATCACGCATGTGGGATATGAGATGAACACAAGCTGACACCATTCAAACAAAGAACACTACCAAAGTAGACGTGTGGGGAAAATACTAAGTAAAAATAACACAGATGCCGTTAGCTGCACACCTACAGTGTGTTTCACTGCACTACCCCTTCCACCTGCATCCCCTTGAATTCTTCCAGCCTCTGGAGGTGGTGATTAGTATCCCCATTGTACAGATGGGGAAACCAAAGCTCAGAGAGGCTAAATGACTTGCCCACAAAGCACAGCCCAGATTTAAACCCAGATCTGTATAGTTTAGAAGCGTAAGCTCTTCCAAGACTGGGATGCTGCACCCTTGCATTCAAAATAAGGAGAGTTGGTATAGCTGCTGTGGGAAACAGTATGGCGGTTCCTCGAAAAATTACAAGTAGAAGTACCATGAAATCCAGCAATTCCACTTCTGGATCTAGTCCCAGAAAGAACTGAAAACAGACTCTCAAAGGGATATTTGTACACCCTTGTTCATAGCAGCACTGTTCACAACAACTAAAACATAGAAGCAACCTAGGTCGTCTCTAGATGGATGAACGGATAAGTAAAATGTGGTGGATACATACAATGGAATTTATTCAGCCTTAAAAAGGAAGGAAATTCTGCCACATGCTACAGCATGGATGAACCTTGAAGATATTATGCTAAGTGAAATAAGCCAGTCCCAAAAAGACAAATACTGTATGATTCCACTTCTCTGAGGTACTTAGAGTAGCCAAATTCACAGAGACAGAAAGGAGAATGGTGGCTGCCAGGGGCTGGGGGGAGGAGGCCCCACAGGGGGTTATTGTTTAGCAGGGACAGAGTCTCAGTTTACAAGATGAAAACATTCTGGAGATGGATGGTGGTGGCAGCTTCGTGATACTGTGAATGTACTCAGTAACACTGAACTGTACACTTAAGAATGTTTGTGAAGGTAAATTTCAAATTATGTGTATTTTAGCACAATAGAAAGAATTGGGGGGGAGGAATGTGTTAGGCAAAAGAGGAGACAACCTCAGCACCTGGGTGGCATGGAGGGGGCTTTTGGTCACTATACTCTCTTCTACCCACGTTGACAAACTCATGATAACTCTTAAAACATGTATAAAAATATAAGCACATTGTATACATACTGATTTGTGTGATTTGTACCTAGAGCACCTGAAGTTCCATTAATTTAGATACATTTATTATTAATGAACTTATTAATTATTATTAATTTGGATAAATAATTTCACTAATTAGGAAATGATGGTAATAGGTTCCTTTTGCCATATAAGGTAAGGGCTAAGTGCATGGATTGATAATATAAAAACATTGTTTTAATCAATTCAGCAGGAAATTTTGTAAATGATTTTAGCTCATTTTCATATGAAGAGGCATTAATTTTTCTAAATGAGCCTTACCTGCTAAATAAAGAGCCCTCCCCAACAGCAGCACTTTAGTTCTAATTTGTTTCATGAGCGCCACGTGTTAGTCGTAGTTTATTTCACGAGCACGGACCATGTGCCTGTGCTGGATCCTGGGAACACAGAGTCCAGAGAGGCAGTGGGGGCTCGGCCCACTCGCACCCCGGGGAGCTCACACTCTGGTGGGGACACTGGGTCACAAAAGGAAGTGACGAATTCTGCTTGGTTATATCAAGAAAGACTTCACAGAAGGGTAAGTGATTGGGGGGAAAGGTCTGGAAAGCTGATGGGAAGGAAGGGGAGAGGGGTTCCCAGAGACAACCCGGAGTGTATGTCCCGAAACTCAGAGGGGGACAGGGGACTGAGTGGCGAAGGGCAGCTGGACACAGTGATGAGAAACAAAGCTAGTTCATACTTTGGTTTAAAAAAGTAAACAAAAAACATAAATTCAAAGAATGAGGCTGGGGTGGGCAGAGGACAGGCTGGGGAGGGACCTAAGAGCCAGGCAACTGGCAGCCCCTGGGAAGGGTTTCAACAGGGAATTATGCCTGGATCAGTGACCAGCTGCATGGTGGGAAAGGAAGGGACAGGGGCCCTGCCCTGGCCTGGTTTTCATACTATGTGGTGAAGGTGGAGCCATAAACCAGGGAGAAGCCGTGTCCATCAGCTGAGTAGAGCCAAGCTGGGGACAGAGACTCAGGAGGGGTCAACTACAGCTATGGAAGTCACCGAAGTGAAAGGGGTCACCCAGGAGGGCATGGAATTCAAGGAAAGACCAGACACAGGAGAGGAGAGTCTCAGGCAAGAGAAGGTGGTGGCCAGGGTCACCTGCTGCAGAGATGGTGAGGGGACCGGGTGGAATCACAGGTCTGATGAGGCCATGAGCAGCCAACCTGAGGGAGCGAGTGGCAGGAGCAGGATGTCAGAGGTTAGGGGAGACAATGAGGTGTGGATTCCAGGACGTGGTGAGGACCACTGTTTCGAAAAGCTCCTGGGAGAGGCTTAAGCTTGTTTATCTGCTGAGGAGAAGCTGCCCCAGAGGGGAGATAAAAGTATAACCAGATCAGGGCTAAGTGGATGTCAAAGGTCTTGATAAGATGAGAAGGTGAGGGGTGGGGGATCTACAGCACTTTTCCAAACTGGTTTGTGCGTCAGAAATCTCAAACTGAGTTTTTTAAAAATGCAGGTTCGCCCGACGGGCGTGGCTCAGTGGTTGAGCGTCAACCTATGAACCAGGTCATGATTCCCGGTCAGGGCACATGCAGGGTTGCAGGCTCGATCCCCAGTAAGGGGCGTGCAGGAGGGAGCCGATCAGTGACATCATTGATGTTTCTATCTCTCTCTCCCTTCTTCTCTCTGGAATCAATAAAAACATATTTTTTTAAAATGCAGGTTCCAGGGCCCCACCTGGAGACCACCAAAGGCCTAGGGACAGGTGTGGGGTTGCTTGTTTGAAAATAAGAGAAACAGTCCCCCAGCTGTTTCTAACATGCAATCGGGTTTGCGAATCGTGTGAGAGGTGGAGAGATTGGCCTGGCAGAGGCAGAGCCAGAGCTAGAAATGAGCCCACAATTCCGGCCTTTCACTCTGTCCAACAGCGTCCCCCATATGACTCAGTGCTGAGTAGGGGGGGTGATCCTCTGTGGCACAGGCAGGGGGACTGGCATAAAGTTCCTGGGGGTGTCAAGGCCTGGCCAACACCAGCTGGCACAAAGAAAAATGAACTGTACTGTCAACCAACCAAATCAGCGTGTTATGACACCTGGCACTTAGGCAGGGACATGTGCTTTGTGTGTCTGAGCCCTCCCATGATCCGGAAGAAGAAAGGCTGAAGGAGAACCCCACCCCACCCCATGGA